CCCGGGTCTCACCTGCGGTGGGGATGCTCAGACCTGGTGAGATGAGATGGGGGTGTTATTGGGGGGGGTGGGGGTTATGGGGGGGTTGTGGGGGGGGCTGGGGGTGTCGGAGCTGGGTTGGCTCACCGATGGCCGGGGCCACCACGCGCTCGTAGTGGTAAGGGTTGACGCAGACGCTGTCGTATTTGAGGTCGAAGGCGAACCGGCAGAACTTGGAGTGCTTCAGTTCGTTTTTGTGCAGGTCGGGCCAGCGCCAGAGCCGGGCGTAGATGACGTGGGGGAACCCCTTCCTGCCGGCCACCTAAAGCGGGGGGACGGACGGATGGACGGACGGACACAAAACGGAGTGACGGTGTGGGGACACGGCGTTCTGCTGTGCCACGCTCCATCCAGCCCCGCTGATGGTGCTGCCAACACAGGCGTGGGGTGCTGGACCCCCCCCCGTACCCCCCTCCCCCAGCATCCATGCAATTCAAGGCTGGCGCCAGGCTGGGACCCCGGGGGCTCCCCCTGCGCCTCCCCGGAGCCGCGCTCGCTGCAGACATAACAACCCCCCCCCCCCTCCCTCCACCCCTCACAGCCCCCCCCCGGCTGCAGGCTGCCAGACAGTGACTCATCCAACAAGGGGGGCTGCACTGCTGGGGGATGCCGGCGTGGGGGCTGCAGGCAGAGGGCAACGCAGACCCCCGTGCTGTGATGCTGAGGGGGCTGCGCTGCCTGCTCCCGTCCCCCCTCCCCAAGTCATGGCTGGGGGCTGTGAGTGCAGACACTGAAGTCAGCGCAGTGCTGGGTTCAGAGCCACAGACCAGAGGCAGTCTGAGTGCCCCACCGATGTGGGGGGGCTTCTGCTGGGTCTCCCCCTGCCCCCATTATGTGGGATCACCCAGCTTGGGGAGGGCTCTGGGGGTCTCGGGGGGCTACAGGGATGGCTTGCTTGGAGATACCGAGGTCCCCAAAAGTTGGTGACTTCTGTGGGGTTATGGAATACTAAGAGGTCCATCCAGACTGGGGGATGGCTTATATGGGGGGGGTGGGGGGTGAGTGATGGGACAGCAGGACATGCAGATCGCCAAAGCTCTGGGAGGGCTGCGGTGCCATGGGGGGTTATTGGGTACCGCAGTGCTCAGCCTCCTCAACCACCCCGGGGATGCTTCAAAGGGCACAGGGGCGCCCAAATTCCCCCCAGCCCAGGGAGCTGAGCGGGGTCTGGGGGGGTCACCCAGGTCTCCTCAGCTCGAGGGGGTGTGCAGGGATGGGGTGAGGGAAGGGGGGGTTTACCTGGAGCCGCCCGTCCAAGGTGCGCTGGATGGTGACGCACTTACTGGGGTGGGCGCCGTTGGTGGTGATGGCAGCGATGAGCGAATCGAGCTCGTCCTTCTTCTCCTTCAGCTTCTTGACCAGGCTTTCGATGGCCCTCTTGGCGAAGCTCTCGTTCTCCCCGCCCTGCCGGTGGCACATCAGGCTGTGCACGATGCTCAGACAGGCGTCGCTGCTGCTGGGCGCGCCCAGGGACATGGCGCTGCTCCCCTGCAAGGCACGGCACGGCACGGCCCTGCCCGTCACCCTGCTGCAGGGGACCCTCCGGCCCCCCTCCCCACGCCTGCACGGCCGCAGCCGCGACGCCGGGCTGAGCTCAGCATCGTGCACAGAGCGGCTGCCCCAGAGGGTCCGGAGGTGGCCGGAGGGGGACGTGGACCCCGTTTGGCACCGGCGACGCGGCGGCCACCTGGGACGGCAAAACGGCGAGGACGTGGGACAGAGCCATGTGTCACCTCGAAGCAGCCCGGCCGCGTGGCTCCCACGATCCGTGCCCAGGATGGGAAGAGAAGATGAGCGGGGTGACGGCGACGCGCGGGATGCTCGGGGTGTCCCCAGCCTGACGGCAGCGCAGCGCAGCCCAAAGGTGGGCACGGGGCTGCGCTGGGGGCCGCGCAGGGCTGGTGATGGGAGCTCTCACCCCGGGGTGCCGGCCGCGCTGGTTGCTGCTCAGCCCCGTCTCCAGCGCGTGGCCCAGACTAAACAGAGCCCGGGCTGCTGGCGCCGCTCTTTAACCCCTCGCTGCCTGCTGTCGGCACGCTCACGCCAACAGCCGTGCGCACATGCGTGTGCGGAGCCCCCCAGCATCCTTCCTCCCCCTGCCCCGGGGTGGCTGCGAGCGCTTTGGGGCCTGGGAAAATCCTTGGGCTGACCGCAGACACAACAAACCCTTCGCCCCGCTCGGTGCGCTGACCCACGGCCGTCTGTCTGTCTGTCTGTCCGTCCTGGCAGAGTTGTGTTGTTGGCTCGGCCCCCGGCGCGGGCGCGATGCCACGGCTCCCCCCCCCACCTCTCCCCTCCCCGCCTCCCCCCAGTGTTGGAGTGATGCTGCTGGCCGGGCTCCCCGCTCCCAGGGGGGCAGAAGGAATGGGGCGGGGGGATGCTGGAGGGGTCCCTGCGGTTGGGGTGCAGCTCTGAGCCCTCCCCAAGTCCTCTCCCTCCAGGGCTCGGTGCTTGCCGTGCTCCACGAGCCAGGGGGGACGTTGGGGGCAGAGGAGGGGTGGGAGCTGTGCTGTACCCACAACCATGGGGGGTCCCAAAGAGGGGCGCAGCGCTGTCCCCATAGCAATGGATGTCCCAGAATGGGGCACAGCAATGTCCCCAAAGCAATGAGGTGTCCCAGAGTGGGGGTCACAGCACTGTCCCCATAGCAATGGGGTGTCCTGGAGTGGGACACAGCACTGTCCCCATAGCACTGACTCCACAGCAATGGAGTGTCCTGGAGCAGGGCACAGCAATGTCCCCACAGCAATGGGGTGCCCCAAAGAGGGACGCAGTGCTGTCCCCACAGCAATGGGGTGCTCCAAAGTGGGGCACAGCAATGTCTCCATAGCAACAGGGTGTCCTGAAATGGGACACAGCATTGATCCCATAGCATTGTCCCCACAGCAGTGTCCCCATAGCAATGGGGTGCCCTAAAGAGGGGCACGGCACTGTCCCCATAGCAATGTCCCGATAGCAATGGATGTCCCCAAATGGGGCACAGCTCTGTCCCAACAGCAATGGGGTGTCCTGGAATGGGGTGCAGCACTGACCCCACAGCAATAGGATGTCCCTGAACAGGACACAGCACTGACCCCATAGCAATAGGACGTCCTGGAACGGTGCACAGCACTGTTCCCACAGCACTGTCCCTGCAGCACTGACCCCACAGCAGTGGGGTCTCCCAAAGCGGGACACTGTCCCCATAGCAATGGGGGTTCCCGGAATGGGGCACAGCTCCGTCCCCACAGCCACGGGCGTCCCGGTGCTTTGGTGCCCGGCAGCTCCGCGCTGTGGCCGGGCAGGGCGGGGCCGCTGCGGGTCTCCGTAGGGGGGGATGATGGTGGGGACACCGAGGGACGGCCGGGCTGCGCACTCACCTCCGCCGCACGCCGCGCTCAGCCCGGACCCCGCATCGCCGCCCGCCCCACAACAAAAGGGGGAGCCGAACGCGTGAAGCGCTGCAAAGACGCAGCCAATGGGAGGCGTCGTGACGGGCGGCCACCGCCCCGCCGACCAATAGCGGTCACGCTTACATAGAAGGCGGGGCAGCGCCCGGGAAGAGCCGAGCACCGCCCCCGGTGCGGCCACGCGGTGCGGGGCTCCTCCCGCGGCTCAGCTCCTCCCACAGCGGCTCCTCCGCTGCTTCAGATGAGCGCTGGATGTATTTAACCCCCTCCCTCCCCCCCCCCAAAGCGAGCTGTGACAGCAGGAAGCAGACGGGATTCATCGCAGGTACGAAAAATCAAAAGAAAAGCACCCGGAGCCCGCACTGCTTTTGTAATTTCTCCTTTGTTACAACAAACCAGAAGGACGGGATTCCATCGAAACCGGGAGTTCACACAACAGAACCGAAAAGGTGGGGATGGGGGGGAGCTGAAACCGCTCGTCACCTCCCAGCAGCGGCGGGACGGGAGGAGCCAGCGCCGGCTGCACCGTAAGGAGCGGCGCCGAGCAGCGCAGCTTCGGGCTCCGCGTTCTACAAGGGCTGCTCCGTGGGTTCAACAGAAGCGAGGGGGTGGGGGGGGGACGTTTCCCATCCCAAAATGCTGCTGCGGAGCCCTGCAGGCACACGGACTCACGGCCCCATAGCAGGAAATGCAGCAGGGCTGCCAGATTCGCATTTGGAGCAGTTTTGGGGGGAGAAATAATAGATAAAAATAACCCCAAAAGGTTGCACACAACATTGTATCAAAACAGGAAAGGAAAACATACTGAAGTCTGATCGGCGGTAGAACAGGGCTGCTCCCTGCTCCCGTGGGTCCTTTCAGCTGAATCAGGGTTTCCTTTTTTTTTTTAGCTTATGGGTACGGGATACACACCAACATCCACACCAGTCTCTGCAAACACCCTTCAGTCGTTCGTTTCGGGGTCTGTCTGAGCCATGTAAGCATCCAGCTCGGCGTCGAGGTGTCCTTTTGTTTTCGACATGTAAGCATCTAACTGGTTGTCCAGCTGCTCCTTGGTCAGCGCAGGCCGTGCCGCTCCTCTGCCTCGTCCTCTGCCTCTGCCACGGCCACCAAAGCCACCTCTTCCCCGGCCCGCCATGCCACGGCCTTGCAGAGACAACACGAGGGTTACAGGCTGTAGCTTAGGGCAGGGCAGAGCTGCTCCTGCTGCCCCAAATCCCACCCCCAGCCGGGGCTGTGCCGTGCCGGCCCCACTCCCCACCTTGCTTTGCTTTCAGCCCTGTGGGGTTTGGACCCCGCTGTGCCCCCAGCTCTGCTTTGTGCTCCACCCACACTCAGCAGCTCACAGAAATGGACCACAACGATCATTTGGTCTCAGCCCTCTGCTATGTGCAGCATCTCAGGGTCTGGGACACAATTTGCACGTTGCTGGGAGCAGTTTGTGCCTTTAGGAGGCATTACATGCAAACTTGTGCAGAGAAGCGCTTCCTATTGAGCAGCCACCCCAGGAGACCAGGCTGAGCAGAATCACAGCCCGACAGTTGACACAGGCTGTGCATTATTTTTTAAGTGTGGGAACACAGCACAACGTTCCTCAACAGGCTGAGCTCCTTCCCTCCACTGATTCACACACAGAAACACCTGCAGGAGGGGACAGAGCTGTGCCAGACCCCAGAACCCCACGGGCAACAGCACAACAGGGATCCGGGTTGGGCACGAGGCCTGGCAAAGCATTTTGGGGCGAGCAGCTGTGACTGAGGGCTGTG